GCTTTAAGACCTATTCTATTTCCTTGGTTTCATCATCATCAAACGATACTTAGTAAAAGCTAAACAATTAATTTCATGTTCCGTGTTCCAATCACGAGTGTCAGGTTTTTTACTAATTATTTAAATCGGTCGGATCGGAGTTTTGCGAACGGATTAGTCCAGTGTATTATAAGATTTGAACTTTGATAGAACTTCGTTGTTGTTGTTTAAAGATGCTGATTAAATAATACGCAGTATAGACAAAATAAGTTTCGTTCCATTTATTTACTTTATGTTCAATTTTGTCAGGAATACAACAAATAAAAATAGGGCGTGATATTTTAAATGTAACTTTATTGTGTTTTGCACAAAAGTGACGTTATCGACATTACACTGAGATACTCTGTGATTAAATTTAAGTACAGTTTCACAGCTTCTGATAAATAAATACAGTATAGCTATTAGGCGCACACACAATCAATAACGAGCTTCTATTCAATTCCATCAATTTTGACATAAAATAGTCGATCTGATGCCAAAATACATTTATTTATTCTTTTAGAAACAATGGAAAACATCCTCTGTGGCTGATTTAAATCATTTACATCTAATGAAAAAGATAGACTTCGTATTTAATAATAATAGTTTTGTACCAATATGCTGTTGAACTTTTGGTATGGTAAATTATTATTACCTACAACGATACTGTACTGGTGTCAAATAGCACGTGTACATAGTTATACCCCTTAAATAACATAAAGTAGAGGAAAGTAAAGGACATCTGTTGAACAATATCACTTAATGTAATGACTATACGTAAACAGGTAAGTAATAATTTGTATATTACTTGCCTGTTCAAAATTATGATGGTTTGTAGACGGAGTCCAAAATGTCATGTTTCGGAGCCCTGTGAGGAGTTAAATGCATTTTCTATAATATAGCTAGTGCAGGCCAGTTGTGACGTCATTGTATGATCTGTTTTGCGAGACCAGGATAGAAAATAATACGGATAATAATTTTTTGCCGCGTTGCTAAATCACTCACGCCTAGCAACCAGACAACACGAGCATAAAACATAATAACTACATAAAAAAACAGATTCGTACTCAAAAGTACTGTTAACTATTAATGAGATAAAATGTATAAAGCTGGTGACCGTAATAACACTTGTTTAAACAGTTTGTGGTGAACAATGTGTAGATATGAATATAGCAATTAGATAAATGCAATAAAACTATTCATTCCATACAAAGTTGTACCTTGAGATGCAGTTGTAAAGATCGTGAATAGTCATGAATATGTTCTTGGTATTCTGATTCATATTATAAATCTTACACAGTGTATTGGTCTCAAAAATATCGACAGAATAATGTTTAAAATGGGCATGATAAGAAGACGGTTTTAATCATTGGCAATTAATGACAAAACTCGAGTGAGGAAATTATACTAAATACTGTATAGGTGTTCTGAATTATATACATAAGTAAATTAATAAAATAATTTCGTAGTACAACATAACACGTGTACAATTTTTTGCAGATTCATTGTATTTGCCATCACTAAGGCCTTTTAGATCATTAGCTATGTATTACTAAATTATACACGATAACAGAGGCACGCTTTCTTGTACTACCATTAGTAGCTAGCGACAAAAATCTGACGGTATCCAGTGTGGTATGTGCCATAAAATCAGACTAGATCGAATCCTACTGTCAAATACATTTTATTTCGTTTTGATCAATCACTTGAAAACTTAACTTATTTACATTATTAACAATAAAAACGGCATGAGGGGTCTATGGACCCCCAGTCGGCACGAAGTTCCTTTCGCTTTTTGTTAGACGTTTGCTATAGTGTCGCACACATCCGCTCGGAGCGTGTAACGCGCGCTAAGGAACTTCGTCCCAAAAAACCTCTCATTCGCTTACTTACAGCATTTCTCGACAACATCATAATTCAAAATGATCAAAGTATTAGGTAGTTAGGAACTGATACTATCTAGCAAAAGAATATCTACACATATTGTACATTCAGTTTTTGGTAAACCTTTAAAAAAAAACTGATGAAAATGAACAAAATTTGATGATACAGTTGTCGAAGATTCTTTATTTCTGAGATAATATGAGGCCTTAATTAATTTTTAATAGAAAAGATAAATATCTTTAACGAGATTCTATAACTGTAACACATGACAATAAACTGTTATTTTATACAGTAGGGAAATATGTATGTGCTTCATATCCTAAAGTAAACTTTAAACGATTTACATAATTATTTTGTCATGGAGATACAATAACAATGTAATTTGTTATTTAAATATATGATGTAATACCACCTAGGCATCGCAGATTGTTAGTTCAACGGTATGTAACAAAAGAGATGGTTTGAGAATTAAATATGTTTATGATAATTTGTAAGTTTTACTGAATCATTAAGTAAATTCAAGTGGCAAACGTAAAGTTTCCGTCGATTACCAATGTATACTTAAATAGTGATAATTCATATATTCTCCGCCAGAATAACAAATAAAAAGGTATTCCTACAAAATTGTGTTATTCAAGTTCTGTACGGGGCAACGCCCGTACAAGCAGCTAAGGCAGATCCGGCTCGAAGGGCCAATAATTTGTCAGCCTTGCCACGAGATCAACAAATACAAGATTGTATCATAGAGTTTGGTAGAGCCCATATCTCTACCTGCTTCGCTTAGAATGCATACTGATTATTACATCGCGTGTGTAATGGATTTATGCGCAGCTGCTTGTACGGACTTATATCGTACAAATTTTATATAAAACGATTTTATGTTCACTCTAAACAAATAACAAATATTATATTACAATAGATTACAGTAAAGTATTATGAAGTCATACCAATATACAGTAAAATATATTCTCATCAAATGGAATAAATTATTATGACTTTGGTACGTTTTAACTATTTACTTAAATTTGTAACTATAGTCCATTTAAGCTAAGAGGTACCATTTGACATTTCTTACTTTTCTAGACGAAATAACTTTCAACAATTTCAATAACCTTTTCCGTAAAACCTTGGAATTATAAAGCAATTTTCATTGTATCGCATGATGTACAATTCTTAATGACTAAATTTAAATTGTATTCTTTGAAACAAAGCATAATAACCAATTTATTAACAATGTTTTTTAAACTTCGTTTTAAAGTCACTCAGTCTAGTTTATTACCGTAGTGGTGGAGGCTCTTCAAATTCACTTGATTACAAGTAATCGTTGAAATGTACGAAAAAACAATTTATTAATAACGAGTCATTTTAAATCAAGTAGTCTTAAGTGTTTAATAATACTTAAAATTCATCAGACATCCCACCATAATTAGAATTAAAATTATATAAGTTAATGTAATTTTAAACAAATCTTTGTAGGCAAAATCGCTCATGTCACAGTCTAGTGGATACTAAGATTTACTAGTAAAACCTCTGATATGCTATTACACGGGCTTACATAGTAACATACATAAATCTGTAAAACTGAAATCGATTAGTACATACTAAGAAATGATATTGATATCTCGTAAGAATCGTATATTGTAATAATCGATTTCTTTGACCCCATCGCTGTACTGCGATCTGTCACAACTGTCAAACGGTACCTCTTAGATAAGATAGACTATAGTAACAGAAGTCTCAACCGTATGATATGATATGACGTGAATTTATTGAGCAATCAAATTATGATCATTATAAAAAACAATGACGTTAAATTATTTTCTTCATGGGATTTTGATAAATAGTTCAATTATGCAACATTTTTTATTTATAAATTGTATTCATCATTAATAAAAAATATGGCAACGGGTTTCTGTTTTGTAACAGAAAAAATATTTTTATCTATTTAGATAGCAGACGTAATGATTTATTAGTATATTATAAAAGGTAAGTCTTATTTACACGAATTATTTTCTTAGCTTTATTTTCTTGCAATTGGAATAAAGATGCTTTGAGAGAATATTCTCGTGTAAATACTCATGCTTTCTGTGTCCAAGATTAACTAATAATTATAAGATTCTACTTAATTTGAAACATACTACATAGCTATCAAATTAATAGGAAAATTATCGGATCTCTTAGTGTACAGCGTAGTGAAATGTAAAGCGTGTGGAGTTTACGTTGATAAACTATGAGCATAGCATATCGCTAACAAATGTGGATTGTATGAATTTCATAAGGCAAAGTACATCGTTATTTGAAACTCTTCAATATGTTCATATACATATAACGTTCATTTTTGGTGCTATTAAGATGATCGAAGTCTATAATCAAAGGCTTTTAGGCGTTGTAATCTATAAGGCTACTACTAGATATGTATAAAGCGAAAGCTGGATCTTTAGGATTAGTTTTACAGTTCTTTTTTATAAGGTTCATTTAACAATATTCGTTCTTACATCATCCATACACAGAGACGTTAGATCTGCATATAGAAACGTTAATATAAATTAGCCTTGGACTTATTACTTGTTATATTATACGTGCGACGATTATTAAATATATATAGTTACATAAATATTGTCATTATCACTATTATTGAGTGAGATGTAGATGTTCCATTTCCACGATGATTAGTAATATCGAACACTAATATTTTAATTTGTTTTAAAAATAAATGCGCTTGTCTTACGACTAGTTAAAGCGAAAAGTTAGAATTGCTAACAAGAATTTTGATTGATTCAAACATAAGAGATAAAATATTTCAAAATTAGTAAAGTCGTATTCTTAATAACGCCTGATTGGCAAAAAGTAAGTAAAACAAAATACGTAGTAAAAATCAGTCATAATATTGTCAAATTCCGTTTAGACGTCGAAATAAACCGACAAAGTAAAAAAAAATGTTTTTAACATAACTTAGTCAACTTAATACGAAATAAATACTGTAAGTACTAAAATATAGTATTGAATAACGCAGTGGCGACTAAAGACTTTGGTGCAAGTTCTCCCCTCGCAGTCCGTGAATATGGCCAACAATTCGATTTCTCCGTTATAGTATTGGACTAGCATGAAATTCGTTTCCGATACACCTTCAGATGCATCCGTTTCTCTCTCTCTCTGTAAATGTTACCTGGAACAGGTTTTTAATTTCGTTGTAAATTAAATCATGATTCAAACATATAAATTTATCACAGGACTGAGGTAGACTTAAAATATATTCTTTTTTTGTCCATCTCTTCATATTTTATGATTATTATCTTTAAAAAAAAAACTAGCACCTACTCAGACATTTCCCTACCACCCAAAGGTTGATTAGAAGAAAATGCCTGAGGAATTAAGTCCCCCATTGTACATTGAGTTGTAATTTGTGCATAGAGAATTAAAATAAAATATGTTTAGCAAGAGCAGTCGGGACAACTAGAACAGTACAGCTCGCTATTTCGTTCGTTTATAGTGCATTCGCTTATAAGGGCCGATTATTATGCACAATTTTTTTTTAAATAATGTGTACTCACTTGTAATCTCCTTTTTGTAATAGGATCCAAATGTATGTTTATTGTAATCAGTTTGCTTTTTATTTTTGTAATAGAAAATATTGGATCGTTTAACATTTGTTCAAAGTTTGTATTCGTCTTTCGATTTTTATACAAATGAATTTTGAAAATCACACACATCAAAGTACCTGTAAATCCGGTCTGCCGCATTTCACCAATATGTATGCAGACGCAAACAATCAGCGGCCAGATCGGCCAGAAGGACCCTTTTGTTGGGCAGCAGTGTAATGCCGGCGACCCGCCGCGGTCTCTTGTCGGCGAGGTCTGCGGCGGCGAGCACGTGTCCGGCGGAGGGCCCCGCGGCCTGCAGCACGACCAGCGCCGCGCGCCCGCGCACCGAGCGCGCGCACACCACGCGCGCTCCGCCTTCGTCTTCCTCCAGCGCTACGCCACCGTAACCACCGCGACCTACGAACGTATGTCAGTCTTTGATCGATTCAAAAAATGTACTTAGTTTTTTAAACAGTAGCTCTGATTTTAATGATCAATAGTACAAAACTGTATTCTTCATCCCTTAATGTTTATTAGGTAAATGGCGTAGCTATTTTTTTTTATTAAGTTTAAATTGAACAAACGATGTCATATATAAAAGTAATTGTTGAAATCGTTTACAAAGGGCGTTATATCGCGTAACATACACAAAGAAAACTCTTCAGTTGAATTGATTTTTTTTTAAACATATTGAGGGATTCATGAATATTGTCTATACAAATACGCTCAGTCATGCTTGTGCGCCCTTAATGATCTTCTGTCCGGTTTTTCCATCTCGCAAAGGCAAAGAATCGCTTTGAACATTAAAACATTGTTAACTCTAATTTAAAATTTCTTTACGCAAACGCCTTCAGGGATTTGTCCTGGCGTTCCGTACACATCGACGATGACGCGACAAAGCAAGGTAAATGAGGTTTTCTAAATGCTCACACTGCTTAACACACTTTGATTTTATATATTCGATTATATATTCGATTCGATCGATCGATATATTTGATTTTACATATTCGAAAATTTATTTATGTATATTCTTTACGTTTCCTTATTATATTAGTTTCTATCAATTAATAAAGAAATTTTGTTTCTCCACTGCAAAACTATTTTGGCCGCAAATAAGATGAAATTAATTTCTTAAACATATGTTAATAATTAAAGGATACGTGTGAAAGTTATAAACATCTATAAAAATAATTTTAACGCAGCTGCGGCCATCCTATTTAAATGGATTAATTATGTCGACGATCACACTTACCTTTAGGCACCGGTGCAAACACGTTCTTGAGATTCCCCTCCACATCGTATACTCTGACCGCCACGTCGGCTATAATGAGCAACTCGTCCGACAGCGCCAGGCCGCCCACTAAACTCAATTCGCCGTTGCCTACCTGTCATTGAAATGAAAATAATCTTTGAATATTTTAATGCTTATTGATTTCAAATTTTCTTTGAATAATTAAAATGAAAAGTACAACAATAGTTACACTTAGTTATAAGTGTGGTAGTGGTAAATCGTTACATTAAAATTTATTTTTTATTTATTTACAATCTCTATCCATAAATATATAAATAGTAAATGTGCAAGTTACTATTTGTATGTTTTTGTACAAATTTAAATATAACATAAATAAATATATAGTATAATGTATTAAATATTTTTGTCCATGTAGTGACGGATTCTGATATTTTTTAAAGGGTAATACCGAGTGTCACCACCCCTATTCATCTTGTCGGTGTGGTAAGAGTCGATTAAGAGAGTCAATTATGCAGGACAATAGTACTGCAAAGAAAAACCATGGGTTGTCTATGTTATAATTCAATTTGTATGCATAAATATGTGTCGTATGATTATGTGTACTATACTACGCAGGCCAGACGGGTCGGTACAGACCAACTCGTCTGGCCTGTATTGTACCACGCTGGTACAGTAGGTCAAAACTTCTTTTGTAAGGAGACGACTATGTCCAGCAGTCGACTAACCTTTGACGAGGCGCTCTGTCGTACAGCGCTCAAATTAAAGCACTGTATAGCTATTGATAGATATGATTGCATCTATTTTATTATGTATAATAATAACTTCCGTTGCGTCCAATAGAAAAAATAAATAAATAAAACGTATTTCAGTGATAAATTTACTTTCAATTTTATTTTGGATAGGCATAGATCCAAATCCATACGGCTCAATCGATTTGAAGGCGTATCAAAATAATCTTAACGCGTCTTTGCTCTGTTTCGATCGATGTCAAACGCTCGACGGTCAAGAATAGGTTTTTAATCGACTCTGTGGACGTATGGGAAAAGAAGAGCGTCGTTTTTACTATCTTCTCGCGGCTTTGCGTTTTCCCTCTCCATAAAGAGGTTCGTGCGCCTAGAGCAGAGAATCGGGCGTACCTCGCGCTCGATGTCCCCGCGCGCGTCGAGCAGGAACACGGCGCGCGCGCCGTTGTCTGCGACGGCGAGGCGGCGCGAGGCGCGCGCGGCCGCCACGCACACCGGCTCCACGAGGCGCGCCGGCCGCAGCCTGCGCAGCGTCGCGCCCTCCGGCGACACCTGCGCACCGAACCGAATATATACGCCACTGCCGACTGATTATGTAATGTTAATTCAAATTTTAAAATCTTAAATATGTTCATTTTCATACATTTTAAGTATTAAATAATAATTAGTACCTGAATGACGGAACTTAGCTCGAAATTTTTTGTTTGGTACATTGTCTAAAAATGAAACCTAACTAGATCGATTAATCACCCCGAAAAATTAATTTATAAAGATGATTTACATCTGCTAAAAAATTTAAATCTTAGATTTACGTCAAACTGTAAATTTGACGTAAGTCTAAGATTTACTAATCTTATCTATTCTTATTTATTTTCTTATTCTATATCTTATCTATATAATATAATAGACGAATCTTAGATTTCGAAACGAGATTGAATCTTAAGTAAATAAAGGAAAGAGGAGAAATCTTATGTATCCAGACATGGGGCTAGAGGGGGTCAAAAATAGTCAAAATCATCCTTACGTAAGTGATTAATGGCAACAAAGGCCTATCGAAGAACGTGTCGATGGACGCGTGATTTATATATATGTAATCATCATCGTCTAGGGTACACGACGAAGAAGTTAATACTAGCCTGTACCCGCGCCTTCGTTTGCGTGGAATTTGAAAATTGCCGTGGAATTGCCTTAGTGGTGCAGTACGATATGCGACTGAAGCCCATGAAGCCTCGGGTTCGATGCCCAGACTGGTCAAAATTTTATAGCCTTTTTTTTTTCGTGTGGAAATCCCCTCGGACCGTCACCCCACCGGGGTTTGCGGCGGGGTGGTGTGTCGGACTCGGACCGACTAAAACCACACGGTGTGCCACTCTGCGCCTGTAACAGGAGGGATCCGGGAACAGCTGTTATTAAGACATCCGGACCCCTCCTAGCGCCGGCCCGCTTCTGTTGCGGGCTCCGTCTCAAAAAATTTTGCTCTCTTTAGGCGACGTGTGCCGGACACGCGGACGCCGCCCCCTCGCGGCTGGTCAAACTAATGCGGGTGGAGGGGCAAATTTTATAGCCTAAGTTAACCCTTATATTTATGAAAATCAATCATTATAGTCAAATATTATCAAAATCGGTACAGCCAAACGGCTTTACCGATTTTGATAATATTTGAAAGTTTACCCGGAACAAATAGACAGGCAGACAGACCGACAAACTGACAAAAAATATTTAAACTGGTTTTTAGGCATAGGTATCGTCCAAATACCCGTGTGAGCATGAAAAAAACGTATTATTTTGATATTACAAACAGACACTTCAATTTTATTTATTTGTATAGATAAAACGAACTCACCTCCGTGAGTGTTCGAGTACGCCAATTGACTGCGATGATACCGTCTGCGGTGACTGCGATCCCTGTACAGCTCCGACCCGCTAATCCTGTAACATTATTAAGTAGATCATTTAAATTACGTTTCAACCAAAAATATTCGTATTCATTAATAACATAATAGATACCGCAGTTTAACGAGATATCTCAATTTACTCAGAGTAAATTTGAAATTGAGAGTGAATTTATTGTAATAATATATGTATGTATGTATCTAGAATCTGACCGCAAGAGCTACTGCGTCTAATCTGCTAGCTTGCAACTGTTTATACAACTACTCACTTTAAAAATCGTGTACGTACAGTAAAATTAGTCTCGAGAAATTTTTGCATATGTCACTACATACTGTGCATATTACTCAGATCTTAGAGCGCGTTTCCACTATATCGTTCTGGCCTATACAAAAATGTTTCGATATCCTAACATTACTATTTAATTTTATACTTATCCCTAGCAACACTCTGATTTTTGTTTTCAATAAAAACAAGTTTTTATTTTAAAGAAAAAGGTTTTGACTTTATAAAAAAAAGGTGTGTGCGATTCACACACGATAGAAGTGAAACTTCAAAGAGGAGAGACCGATATTTTTTTTTTTTTTTTCCTTTCATCTAGGTTTTTAAAACTCCGGGGGGTCTACGGGGGGTCAAAATTTTTGTTATTTTTGGCCTAGGACGCACCGTTTCCGAGATATTTCAATCTAAAGCAAAAAATCGTCACTTGATAGTGGAAAGTGGGAACACGCACAAAACCAGAATAAACCAGTTTACGCTGTCCGCAGGTGCAGGTGCCACGTGCCACTACTACAAACGCAAAAATTTCTCCAAGCTAATTTACCTGTAGCACTTTCTTTTTTTTAGACAACTCCCGCACTAGGAATAAATCCTGTGTCGCGGGGGACTTTACAAACATACATGAAACGGACACAAATAACACCCAGACTCAGAACAACAATTTGTGGTTCACACAAAGTGGGGTTTAAACCCACAACACTCGGCCACTACGCCATCCGTACAGTCATAGAAACAGTTGCGGGATGAACTGCATTTTGCCGTATTAGATTGAAATTGTCCTTATTCGTGCTAAACTATTTGTAGTATCAAAATGAACCAAGCCTGATAAAACTTTTGCCCGAGTTTACAAAAAAATAAGAGTTAGTACCTTCATTAACGATATCCGTTTTAAAAGCGAACGTCTCATCGTCCAGCACCTTTACTCGCGAATTGCCAGCGTCGAGAACGTATATTTCCCGCCGTTTTGGACATCTGAAATTATTAAATATACAATTAAAGTGAGTATACAAAACCGACTCGTAAGCTCGTAAACACAATGAGCTTAAATATGACCCAACGATCTCGTATTCTTCTCGTAGAAGAAACGGTATGCGATTCGATTAGACACTACACACCTCTTTCTTACGAAGACAATCATGTTTTCTTGCACTTTTTATATATAAAAAAATAATTTTGTGCTAAACATTTATCCTAAAAAAATTCATGAAGCCAATGGTGTCATTAAAATTTGTGTCCTGGGGGCCTGAAATACAGGTTTCCCCATTGACTCCAGTCCGCCCCCAAAATCTACCAAATATAATGTAGACACTGTTACATTCCGTCAAGTACTAAGTGTTGGAAAAATAAATTAGACTAAGAAAACGCCAAGGACAAAGATTAGCACCCTAAGCAATTTTTTTATTTATTTAAGTCAACTGATATTTTCTCTTAATTCCGGCGTTCACACGTTACTTTGAAGAAACTCAAATTAATATTGGATTGAGAATATGTTAAAGTGTGACATTTGGGTTTTTTTGCTCAAAATCTATTAGTTATTCATATCAGTGTAACAAGTGTACCTCGCTAGCGCGACAGGCTGGCTGAGCTGTTCCTTGCCAGTGCCCCTGGAGCCCCACACGGCGAGCGGCGCGGCGCTGGGCGCCACCTGCGCGCGCAGCGGCGAGTCGCGCACGCCGCGCGCGAACACCAGCACGCGCACGCACAGAGCACCCGCGGTCCACGGCCGCATAGTGATCCTGAAATATTCGCCGGATCAAGATGGGAATATTTGTGAGTAACCTAAATAACTTTTCCGAGCTCTCTATAGCCTCTACCCGGAACAAATATATAATATATGTATACAAATACAGTGAAGCTTGTGTGAAAGTGAAGAATTTTCGTGATTCAATTAATCGCTAATGACTGGAACTTTCGAAAAACACTATCTATAAAAGAAAAGAATATATAAAAATGTTACGTTGGTTTTTGTGTACGCTTCAAAAGCCCAAAAAGTACTGCACCGATAGCAAATATAGTCGACAACGACGAATTGAAGGCGAATAGTGGAAACGGATCCAACTCGATCTACGGCTAAGCTTGCTGCGGGCTTTAGAGTTAATGTCAAAACAACATTTAAGTACTTGCGTCAAATCGGAAAGATAAAAAGCTAGATTAGTGTGGTGCCACACGAACTAAGCGATCATCAGCGAGACTTGCGCATCGAAGCATACATAGCACAACTGAATAGGCGTAGAAAGAAGGGGAATTCTGAATCGAATTGTTACCTGCGATGAAAAGTGGATCCTGTACAACAACCAGACCGGGGTAGAGCACCTAATCAGTGCGCTAATGGAGAAGCTCGCAATTCAACCACTTTTCAATCGCTCTTCCCCACTGCTTCTCCACGACAACGCGCGACACACACCTCACGACAAACTATCTCACAGCTATAAGAGTTATAGCTGGAAGCTCTTCGTCACCCACCGTACTCAATGGACTTTGCCCCAACAGATTTCTATATTGTTTTTTCAAAATTTAGACAAATTTCTAAGTGGAAAAAATTTAAGACCCGAGAGGCAGAACAAAATATTTTCGCTGACTTCATCGCCTCCGTCCAGCAGACTTCTACATTAAATTGATAAACAAACTGCCATCGAAATGGCAAAAATGTATAGATAATTTGAGACAGTACTTTAAGCAGCTTTTACCAGCTAAAATAAAAAAGTAACCAAAATTTTTATATTTTAACATTTTCATACAAATCTCTAACTTCATAGGTAAACACCTAATATTATGGACTGCTGCTAACATTAATTTAGATATATGTAATCACTCAAAACGTTGAAAAAATATTTTTCTAATCAAGGTTAGACTTAAAAATAAAAACATATAACCAAATTGAGCCCCCATATCATATAAGTCAATTATTTGGTTAAACAAAAAGAGTTATACTTGAATAGTTTTAAATGTATAGGCGTAATTATATTCTACTTGCAATTATTTTTAAAGAAATGAATCGTCATCCTAGCTAATATTATAAATGTTAATGTTCCTTTACTGTAGAATAGCAGAATGAAGAAAGCGATATATTGGGATTTTCTATCCAGAAAAAAGGTAGTTGCTAATGGACATAAAAATAAAAAAAGCTAGCTACCTATAAAGTCCAGTATCAAGATCGGTAACGGAGCAAGGCAGAGGCGCATCGTCTATAGTCGCAGCGGCACTGACCGGGTCTCCGCCGGTACATCGCGCTTCACCGTGGTAATCCACTGTGCGCAACACCACTTCTACTTCCAAACCGCAAACACAGCCAGATTCTAAAAATAAAAAATAAAACATATCTAGGCTTTCTCCTCACAACGTTAAAAGTATATTTCATAAACCCCTGCGGCACAACTAACTAGATGATAGTATGTTTATTGAAATAATCTAATTTAAACCATATACTAAAGTAATATAAGTTTGTTTTCAATGTTTATTATAGTCTAACTCACCTAAAGACAGCGTACAAAGCCCAGGAAACGTTGTACTAGTTCGAACTCTGCCTAGCTCGGAGAGTGCTTCTCCAAACCTCTGTTGAGCATCATTATGTCCGAAATCTACTGCGAGGAAGGCGTTCTCCCTTGGTTCTGCCAGAGCGGCTGCGTCACCTAATCGAGCCCCGAGTGCTGCAGCTCGACTGCTTACTTCACGGACTTCCACTTGTTGCTGGAGACCAGAGCATTCTGCTTCAACCTGCAATTGATACATCAGACGTTTCTCAAATTGTTACCAACTAATAAATATCTGTATCATTGGTGCGCATTTAATAAGATTATTGTAATATCTTAAGCTAGTACAATTCTATAGTTAGCTAGTATGTTAACATATTTGATTTTGCGATAAGATTTAAAAACATACTTCAGTACACAACAACTTATAATATGTATTTGCATAGCATGGTAGTACACATACTTACTTTAGCCTTTTCAGCATCAATTAATTTAAGCTGTTCCTCAAGTAATTTTCGCTTATGTGTAGCGGCAGCGGCAGCAGCCGATTTCAGTTCATTATGGCGTTTATCTATTGCTGCTTTTAGATCTGCGAAGTGTCTGTCTATCGCTTCGTCAGCCGCCGTCGCAGCGGCTTCAAGACGCCTTAGTTCGCTCGCTACTGCATCTCTTGCTGAACCCAGTTTACTCAGACATTCGTTTGCTCTATACAACAGTATCTCCGACATTCTTTTCAAAGCTATTGAAAATGGTACGACTGTGTGATCGCAAGGCGTGTCGCTGTGAGGACCGTCGGCGCAGTGTCTACAAAAAACGCAGTCACACGTTTCACAGAAAAGTAACTCTCTGCCTGGATGTGAACTACACTGTGGTATTACTTCCCTCCGTTGACGTGCCATTAAATCTAGAAGTTGGTTGACGAGAAAGGATGGAGGTAAGGCGGGCACCCCACCTCGGGGAATTGTTATTAGTTCGCGACATATAGGACATCTGAAACTGCCTGCGTCTCTGGTTTGTGAAGCAGCTATTCGTGTAAGGCAATGTAAACACACTGTATGCGAACACGGTAATAGCTTCGGAGTGTGTTCCCCTCCATCATAAGTGCCTGGAAACAAAATAACTTTATTTTGAACTACAATAGTTTAGGTACAAGCAAAAAAAGGTTTATTGTTCTAGAAGGAACTACTACATATTAAGATTTTTTTCAAGCATGTCTTGTAACTACGAGTTACGTTGCTCCCTATTGTGGTGTGATTTATATGTTAATGGCAACGCATATAATCCAGGTATTGTATAAATGTTACCTACCCATTCTACAATGCCCCGCTCATCAGTATAAATAATTTATTTAATAGTACATCACACATCATAGTATAACTTATTTATTTCTATGTTTAGGATTATATATACATACAATGAATAGGCATTGCATATATCCTAGGAAGCAGAGGCGTAGTTAAAAAAATTAGCGCCTCGTAGAAAATTGGCGCCACGTAAATTACAAAAATAAAATGATATCAGCTTTTTTCTCTTTTTTTAAAGAAAACTCATTTGTGGTTATTATACAGAATTACTGAAATGAATAATACTCAATTATACGGATTGCCGGTCATATTTATAAACATTGAAATTACTTGATGAAAACTACGTATTCAAAAATTAAAGGTAGGGGTTAATGTATGAAATGAATTTTTGAAATCGTAAAAATCGTATGAGCTAAAAAGGTAGTTTAAAGTTGTTAGTTTATGACTTTAACTAAACACGAATTTTGCGACAGGGTAGGGGGGGTCAAAGGCCCTCTCAAGTTTCCGTGATAAGTTTTGGTTTTTTGTACTTGAGACAGAGGAGAGTTTAGCGGTAGGACACAGGTCTAAGGGCATTCGTAAGTTTATATGCAAGCTGATAATTTCATCAAATCCTATTTAGTAAGCACGTACTTCACTTCATGCAGCAACATCCAATAGTGGACTCGTTCACAAAATAAACAACTTTCAACATTTTATATTTTTGCCGTAGGTTTAAAATGACATTAAACGCGTCGCGAATCAAAGCTATTAACATACCCTAACGTATACGAATATGTGAACGTTTGTATGAGTAAACTTCATTTGGAATGACATCATTTCGGTTGTTAACCTGGGTTCGGCTTAGTGACATAACAGTGGTTATTGTAGAAAATTCACTTTTCATTATGCGTCACAATTATGTCCAATCCCCTCTAATCAAAACAAAGAGCTTACGCCCTAGTGACACATTAGGTGGCAACAACGCACCTATTTCTCTTATTAAATGTGACACGATTCTTCCTGAGAGCCTTTTTCCTAAACTGGGTTGTCGAACTTTTTAGGGTTCCAACTATTCGTAACGTTTGCCACTTCCACAGATGTTCGTATGGAAACCGGGAACGACGGAGGGGTCTCAATGTGCTTAGAATAGTCACCCATCCATAGACTAACCTGACTAGAATTAAATGTACCACGATATCGATATAATTTACATTAATTACGCGTTATTTACTTTAGTGCGCAATCTTTTTAATGGTTTGGTTTTTAGTCCAAGGAAGTTTCCATTACGAGAGCGGCTAAACAAACAAACAAATCGAATGCTCTATCTGTCCGTTAGTACTAATCGTATCTCTGACTAATTCAATCGTTTTCAAAATTTAATTAATTTTTGAAATCAATATTTTTTTATATTACACCTTGGCAATACGTAGCATACAGCAGTTTAAAGTGAACACGACGTTAAAACCGCACCATCATTCTTTAACCCCTGTTAAAAATAAAATACTGTTGTTTTTTACATATTAGCATCAACATAAAACATAGCAGTGCAAGACGGTGGTTATCATAAATTATAAGTAATAGTGTTAAGAGAGAACGTTGACAGACTACCGTAAATTTTATTCACAGAGAGCGTCTGTTTTGTTGCAGCTGTGCTGCAAATTTTAAGATTGAATTTCCGGTTTGTGGATTTTTACGGTGTGTGTAAATGTTCTCCTTAGGACACGAGCAGTGTACTAACATAAACACGTGCCGCAGGTGAGGAAGCTCTCGTTAAAGTCTTCATAATTGATGGAGACGGTCTCGACGAGCGTTGAGCTCATGCTCGCCATCCCGACGCCCAGCCGTGAACTGACACATAAGAACACATCTTTATGTACCTATCGATATACACTTAAACGTCTAACTAATTTCATTAGTGTTTTGTTGGGTAAGAAAACTATCGTGTTTTCATGAACTTTTCATACGCCGATCTTTAAACGGTGTTCCTAAAATAGTAATAGTGGAGCAACAAACTGGGCTATATTGTTAATATAGAAATGATTAGAATCTCATTATTAGAATAGAACAAGATGGAAGGATATGTATAGCTTACTGCTCTTTTAGTTCATGAATAAACAATTGACTTAATAGGTATATCGCTGAATATTTAATCACAATAAAAACAACACGATCTTAGTAGGCTGAAATAGAACTGCAGCGATGTTTCATGTGCCACGGTACGATAACACTACACTTCGCTTTAAAAAAAAATTACAATTTCGGTACGGAGATACATTTGGCAGTTAAGCAACCAATACGATTTTGCACATGTTCGGCTATTAAACATAGGGAATACGCGTATTAAAATAACAATAAAGCGGATATACTAACTTAAAAGTATATGAGGAAAATTAGCTGAATAGCATGTAGTGAGGAGTAACAATGAGGAATTTACATCGCTATACATTTTAATTAGTACCAAGTGCATTTACAAAGGGGTGCAGGCATTTTATCCATTGATTTTAGTCACTTCTAATCATGTCTGTAGAATTTAATCTATTACGAATTAAGGAAGTCACAAAATATCATAATTTATTCTATAGAATATCAGATGGGCTACTTTATCTAATAGTGTGTGAACTGTGAACTCCCAAACAGATGTGTTCAGACATGCCGACAGCATTTATTCATATCTTTCAAACGTCAGGTGTTCAAGTAGTTATTTTGTAAATCAATAAGTTTCATTTATTCATCACATTGTTATGCTTTTGTTGTTGTTGCCAGGGTACGGATCATTCGGTAACGCAAGTTCTCTTTTATATTGAGAGAAAACACTATTCAGGGCTCTTTATGAGCAATAAGCATAATGTTTGGTGATAACTACCAATACGGCGTACTTACGTAAAAGCTACGTGACGGTACTAGTAGTACGTCTAGTAGTAGTGAACTAAAGGAGCAGAAAATGCTTGAGTCTTCTATTTATAGGAGATTTGTTTTATTTATCGCCTATAATAACATTTTAACTACTTCAATAATTTTTTAATCCTATTTAAACACAGTATGATTTTACATTGTAAACAAGGATTTATGATTGTTGATACCACAATGTTAATATGTGAAAAAGTGTAATCTAATTTAAGTGTTTAACATGTAATTGCTTTAGCACATATTCTCATGCATTTGATTATTATGTGAATGCAAAATACAATAACTTGGTGTACTATGGGTTGTAAATTCTAATGCATATACCATATTGTACACAATATTGTATAAATTAACAGCAAAACTAAAAGGTTTTACCTATTGGATATTTATAAGCTTTATTAAATTTGAATGCCTAATGTACTTTAAACAAGATAATGTCCACTGAACATCAAAATTCATGATTCACCAATCAAAGCAGATTGCTTCTGATTTGTGCCGTTGTCTCCAATTGAACTAATTATGTAATTGTTTTGACATTCATTATGACACACTAGAATATGAGATAAATTGAAACTGCAAATAATTTGTTAACTAAAGTTTATGTTAGGAGTACCTTTGGTGAGTGGTAATCATATTTATTAAAAATATAGTTTTACTCATGTGGTTACAGGAATACAGAACTAGTGTCATTCCTGACTTCTGACACTTTCCTGGCAGTATGCTTCACTAATCGAATATGCATGAGAATAAAACCATACATGTCTTAAAAAGAAAAAAGATCTTGTAAATGTTAAATTATAGCTTATACTATTTTTGTGAGTAATACAAATAACTAACTGCATGGATGGCGTAGTGGTTTAAGCGGGAAAAGGAACTAATGTTTTATTTATGCAGAAATATTTTTTTTTCTGTATTCGGTTAAATTAAATGAGGTTTTGTCAATCAATTAATTTAATGACAAAAATCTTTATGATAAAAAGGTACACAATGACCTTTTTTGTGTCCTTGACAAAATGTACCCATAAATTCATTAAGGCCACTCAATTTGAAAGATTTTGTTAATTGTATTTGTAAAAGTTGTGTAAATATTTATTCTTACAGAATGGACACTGTTAATAAAAAGTAATGTTTAGACTTGAAAATAGCAAAGATTATCAACATATAATTATTGATCAATTAAAACAAACATGGTTTATTAATAATATGACTTGCAGAATGTATGATTATTATTATTATTGTGGGGGTTTGATACCTACACAGGCACAGACCTACTAGAGAATAATATGTGGTTTTGGTTTTAACTATAAATCATGTCATAACATACCTAATGTGGTGACGGATTAAGAATACAGGGTCTTATCACCCCTATTCATCATGTGGGTCTCTTAAGAGCCGACTAAGGGAGCAAACTACAAAGGACAACAGCACTGCAAAGAGAAGGAAAACTTGAAACAAAGCCTATACCGACCCGTCTGGCCAGCGCGGTATAGTAGGCCAAAACCTCCTTTCTAAGGAGAGGCCTATGTCCAGCAGTGGACTGTTAAAGGCTGTTGATGATGATGATAACACTGTGAATTAGTTGAATTACACTTATATAAAGCACACACATACACCATTTTCTTTTTAATAAATACAATGTAAACATCTAAACATAAATGTTGAATAAAATTGAGCTATCTTACTATCATATAACATGTGTTTAAGAATGAGATAAGCTGATAAAGAAATAAGAAACATCCACATACTTAGATTACACAGTTCATTAACCTTTGTAAAAAAACCTCTGACCTAGTATTAAGTAGCCTGGAGGTTCTCTAACAATAACATGCAATTTATAATAGTACAATATTATGTTAGTCATGTTCACATTGTTAAGCTGTATTATTGTGGATCTTTTTAATCTTCCTACCTTGTTGAACTTTATGCTGTGAAAGTCTGTTACACAAAGCTATTTTTGTTTCTATTAATTATGTGCAGACATAAGCAGACTAATGTGTCTGTAGCAGTATGCTTTAAAAGAAAATGGTAACAAGAATCTGCACCATTAATGCATTATTATCAAATACTACTTTCTGACAGAACATTGTCTTTATAATGAAATATGTATAATATTAGATGACTAAATATGTAGTAACATTTATGTTATAGATCATTAATGTTTGCATGGTTGATAACTAACCCATGCATTTCTAAGTATGGCTTTGATTGCCTCATGTTGAATTAGATATACTATGTGTTGGACAGAACTATAAACTCAGGTGTAGAACAGTAAGCATACAAAATAATTTCTGCTGTAAGCACTGCCAGTGGAACTATAAAATATTACTTACAGAAAGGAGCAACAATACATGGACGTGACAACAGGAACAAATTACGATAGTGCAGGCTCTAAGTTAACAAAATACACCGTGACAGACTAACTAAACGACTTCTTTAAGTAAATTGAACGCATAAACACATATTTCAACAACACGTTCGCAGCTTCACTATCAGTCTCTCTTGTGTACACACACTCGCGTCGACTATGCACTGGCGACCTGGCGTACACATTTATTCCAACAAAAATTAAAATACTTCAAGCCACAAATATCTTCACTGAAATGTAAACTTAAAAGCTCTTTCGTAATCGATCGATAGAAATGAAACTATTCCAATGACAAAGGAACTTCATTACAATGTGATTTTGGACGATGTAACATAATCTTCTACAGTATAACTTCAGCACAATTTTATTATACAGTTAAGATGTTTTATTTACCATTTACATATTCAAAAAAAATATTTGCCCAAATATTTATCTAAACTATTTGTGTATTTATCGACCATTAACCTCATATCACCTAAACATCTTAAACTGTCAAACACTAATGTTGTCCATGACAGTTTAACAGTGTGTAAAATATATCGACGCCATCAGTTTTAAGTTTTTTTACCTTTACTGTTTGTGTTCACAGAATTCATGATCATCTTCAACAAAAATAATAAAAAAAATTTTTTTGCTATTAAATTCACTATCGCAGGACTTAAAGTTTGCCCATTAGTAGCACAAGTAGGTAAAAAAAAACTATAAAATTTTTACATTTCATATCCCCCCATATCCCCCTAGAAAATTTTATTTTATAGAAACTTATTTGTTAAATTTGAATTTAACACATTTTTGAAAGGCTTTTTTTTTATCGATAAACTACAACACTTCGCAGTCCCAATCAGTGTTGTCAGATCTATTTAAATTTTTAGATCAGTGAACAGTGAACGCAGCTTACTTACTTACTTTGTTATAATTATCCTTATTATGTACAAAATTAAATTAAGATATTTTAGTTTGTCTATACTAATTACTAATGTTTTGTGTCTTAAAAATAAATTTGAAATACTTAAATAAATGATTGTTTAAGCTTTGAAGTTATATTTTTCTTTTTATGTATTGTCCTCTTCCGACACATGCATACATATCGATCATGAAATGAATGTTTTTATTGTTTTATGACATTAAGAGCCTGTCCAGATGAGGCGTTTTACGCACGAGTCGAATTCACATTGCGTCCAGATTTCGCGTTTTACGCGCGCTCCTACGCTGGGAGGGATTCAGTTATAAACATGGACTCGGAGACAGCGGTTGTGTTGTGGCTTGCATACCGTCGATGGAAACGTCGTAAACGAAGAGAGTCGACGATTTAACGTGCATCCAATTCTACGTGACAGGATGACGCATAGTATGTTTATAACATTATACCCAAAGCTCGGAGAACACAGCGAAAAAAATTTCAACTACTTTCGAATGTCAGTATCATCGTTTGATGACTAACTTTAAAAAAACTCGTGATTACTTTAAGGTAAGTAATAATTTTTATTATTTTGGTTTTGTATTTCCTTGATTTGCATTAATAATGTATTGACAGCAAAGAAATGTTTAAGGAGAGTGAGTGCCTGGTGATCTGAGCTACAGGCTTATGTCTAATTCAGACACCAGTCCTCTCACAATTACTGTTTCTAATTTTAGTTATTGATGTAAGTTAATATTGTACTGATTGGTGATTGTGAGAAGAAAAATAAAGAATTATTATTATTATTAATTAATTATTGTCTTCATCAATTCAGATTCTTGGGAATCCTGTGTATATGCCGGCGATGGTGTTGTTAGAAGAGTGTCTTGGGTGAGGGTATTCCGTGGCGTAGTGAAATAACCTAGATTGGAAGTTGCAGTGAGCAAGGAAGATGTTAAAGGATCTGTTATGTTATTTCCTATTTCTTTAAAATAATCTCTCTGTCCGCTTTGTGTCAGTCCTGCTTATTACCAGGCATATTGTGTTGAAGGTTGGTAGGCAGAACGAGCAGCTGAATGTTTATGATACATGGCTTGTTGAGCTTGAATCACTTTCATTAATTCAATTCTTGTTTGAAGTCTATTCTCCTCTGGTATTTTAATAAGCTCCTTGTGTAATGACAAACAGAATAATTTGTCATCATCTGAATCCATTTGGTTTGACGTCTATGGCTGATTTCTAGATGTTAAATTTTTGTTTATGATGGTGAGAAATTCCTCATCAGCTGCATTCAGCTTTTTTTCTTTTTCGCCTGACTAAGCGGAGGTCTCATTACATCTTCCCCATCGCCAGAAAACTCTTATTCTTCAGCTGCAACACACGTGGTGTTGATTTTGCTGTCAGTAGTTTTATTCCGTGTCGATCGTTCGAGGAACATCAAACGTTTATCATGCATTAATATGCCATGCTGGTCCATCCTGGCCATGAAAGGACCTACATGTTCATTGAGGTTCTCTTCCACGTACCTCTCTGCATTTAGAGTTCCATTTTGAATGAGTACCAGCTCGGTGCGGGCCTCAGTAGAAATCCCAGCCCAAACTTGTACGGAGCCTCCACCGTTCGCCACTTTTTCCTCCACACACGCTTGATGGAAGCGCTCCCCTGGTCTTCTGTATACCAACTGCCTACCATCATGCTTATAAAGCATGAATTTAGACTCGTCCGTGAACATTACCCTAGATCAATCGTCTAGTGTCCAGTTTAGGTGCTCGCGCACGTATCTCTGTCTTGCAATTCGATGTCCCCGTTCCAGTTTGGGGCCATTTGCGGGCCTCAATGGTTTCAAATTTGCTTCAGCAAGACGTCTTCTTACTGTTTGAGCGCTTAAATTGCCACCTCCAAAGCGAATAAAGTGAGTTTTTAGACCAACAGCAGTTTTAAAACCATTTCGGAGCATTATAGCCACCAGTTGTCTGTCTTCCCTGGCCGTTGTGCATCTTGGTCTGCCATTTCCTGGTCTTCTAAGGTGTGATCCGGTCTCTTGGTACCGCTGGACTACCCGCTGAACAGTCGACAAAGATACACCAATGTTTCTGGCTGTTTCACGCTGGCTCCGCCCAAGTTCCAAAAAAGTTAGGATTCTGGTACATTCCTCTAGCGTGACTGCCATGCTTCACCTCACGGAATGATAATTATGCACGTGGAAGACGTTCACGATATTTTTTTTTGTGACAGAATAGAAATGGAAAGCATCTATAATGAAATGAAACAAAAATTTTGTTTTTAAAAATAGTCATTTTTCTAAATTTTATTTTTCTAATGAAGTTTTTTTCATCAACCAGTTTAAATAATATGCTATTAGAAGCGCAACTAAAAAGTCTTTATTCTGTTTTTTATTTCATTGATCTAACTTTTACAGTTCTGGAGGTATTTCAATTTTTGTGATTGACTCGTAATTTTTGGAACCGAGTGTATATAGAAAAATACAATTACAAATAGTACTTTATGCAGGGTGACCGGTAATTCGAGCTATTCCTTGAATTAGGTTAATCTATTTACATGAATATAAATAAACCCTATATAAGAATTTAATTCAATGGACAAAATTTAACAATATTAACTTTTTTTTCAGATATTTGGTCACAGGATGACTAGGAAAGTCTACAGTTATCGAAATAGTACAAAAAAACCTGTTACGTCATATGGCAAAAACTACAAAATATAGTAATTTCATAATTTCAAAACAGTTTAAAAATGTGCAAATTTCCCGAATTGTATCGGTGCCATCGACGGCAAGCATATCCGTATTATGACTTGAGTTGCAGGTGTCCATGGGCGGCGGTAGTTGCTTACCATCAGGTGACCCGTCTGCTCGTTTGCCCCCTTTATGGCATAAAAAAAAAACAAAATTATAAAACCTAACGATTCTGGGTCTCTTTTTTATAACTATAAAAAATATTTTTCAACTGTTTTATTGGCTGTATGCGATTCGACTCCCTTAACCCATGTGATAGTAGGAGATGAAGCATTCAGTCTGTCTGAAACCATAATGCGCCCTTATTGCCCGCTTATCCAGAACAAGGCGTTACATTGAATGTTGTTTTGGTATCTCGGTAAAAAAATCGAGAGTTTTCCATAGACCGTTGAATGTAGACTTTTTTTTTTCCGAATTTGCAAAAATAATAATAAAAGCTTGTGTTGTTCTTCATAATTTCGTCAGCTTAAGGGATGGTTATATGTGTGACCACACTCTGTACGGAACATCTTGGAATAATTTAAACACTGAGGTAGCAAGACTTAATGCAAGATCGCGAAATACAAGAGACAAATTTGCAGATTATTTTGTTAATGAAAGCAAACTCTCGTGACTCGTGATAATAAAATTATTGTCTAAAAAATAATGTTATTAAATAAACTATTGTTTACTTACCTAAAACTTTCTTCGAAATCGCCAGGTTAACAAAAAATTTCAACTATTTCTTCCCAGTTCCTACGTTTTATTACTCTACTGGAATAGTCTGAAGATTCCATATCCCATTTCATCAATAAAAAGTTCGGTATTGAAGTTATCACGCTCCAATTTGTAATAGTTACGTCCATTCGCTACGGATTCGCGCGTAGTATTCGCTCATTACCAGCGTTTTACGCGTCATGAGGATACGCGCGTCATCATCTGGACGGAATATAAAGGTCCGCCAAATAACTTTATTTTTTTGAAAATGCTATAAAAAAAAACTACTGAATATTTTCTCTAATTTATTTTTTTATTTGAAAGTACAATCCTTTCGGTTAATAAGGGAAAATAATTTCATTCAAATGGCTGCCTCGGCTGGCCATGCAGTAGCCTACACGATCGGTGCAATTTTTAAGCACATTATCGATTGTGTGCAGCTGTATTTCACCAATGGCTTCACGAATATTGTCCTTTAAAGCGTCAATTGTCTCTGGCTTGTCGGTGTAACACTTATCTTTGAGGGCACCCTACAAATAATAGTCCAGCGGTGTCAAATCGCAGCTCCGAGATGGCCAAACGACATCAGCTCTGCGGCTGATAATGCGATCTTCAAAAACAGGGCGCAAAACATCGAGTGTAGCTTCGGCTGTGTGGCACGTAGCGCCGTCCTGTTGAAACCAAATGTTGCCAATATCCTCCTCTTCAATTTTTGTGAACAAAAATTCGTTCAACATGGCCCGATAACGATCGCCATTGACTGTAACGGCCACTCCTTGCTCATTTTCGAAGAAAAATGGCCCAATTATGCCTCTGGACCAAAATCCGCACCAAACAGTGACTCGTTTTGGGTGTACCGGCTTTTCAATGTATGCGTGCGGGTTTTCTGTGCCCCAAATGCGATAATTTTGCTTGTTTTCATACCCGCCAAGATCAAAATGAGCTTCATCCGAAAAGATGATTTTTTTGGCAAAATCGGCATCTTCTGTAAGTCGATCGCAGGCCCACTCAGCGAAGCGAAAACGCATTGGATGGTCAGTTGGCTTCAACTCCTAAACCAATTGAACTTTGTATGGCGTCATACCAAGGTCTTTATGCAAAATTCGTCTCAATGATGTTTCCCAAATGTTCAATTTTTGAGAACGACGATGAATTGATGTTGATGGCGCTTCACGCACACTTTGTGCCACAGCATCAATATTCTCGGGTGTACGCACTGTTTTTGGCTTTTCACGCTTTGGTTTATCGATGAGGATGCCAGTTTCTTTCACTTTTTTCACAAGATAACGAACATACGGAGCTGACGGTGCTTCTCTTCTTCCAAAATCCGTACGCAATTTTCGCACACATTCTGCAACATTACCATGATTTTCAAAGTAATGTCGCAATATTTCCCAGCGTTGTTCAAGCGTATACACAACCATATTCGTTCAGCGGAAGGATAAAGCTAATTATCTGTCAAATCAGACATGAGCTAAGTGTTACCATTCACGAAATAAGCACTAGTTGAAAAAAAAAACTTTAGATGGCTGACCCTTTACATATGTAGCTCGAGTATCTCGGGAACGCGCGAGTCGACTCGCCTCATCTGGACAGGCTCTAATGACAATACAGCCTACAATGACTACCCACTCAAATTAATTATTTCTTTTTCCGATATATGTAAGTACACTAGTGATATGTTGATGATGTTGTGATGTGTATGATTTTGTTGTCTTAGTCAATGTATTTATTTAGAATAATTAACTGTTTGTGTAGATATAAATATGTATTAGTGCTGACACTGATGCACGGAAAAACTCGAATGAGTTTATGCGGCATCTTACTGTTTAAACTGTTTACCTTATTTTGTAACAATAAATAACTCACTTTGTTGTTCGTCTGTCTGTCAAGACCCTTTATCTTGGGAACGCGTTTAGGTATCAAGTTGAAATTAAAACCATATACTCCGGTCTACAGTCCCTTGAAGCTGTAAAAAGATCAAAATTCTGCCGTTTATGCCGCAACAAATGCATATTGCACCACTCTCAAGGTCATCAAAATTTATAGGGTATGTCCTGTTGATCTAGAACTCTGAAATGTGGCAAGTGGCATCATCTTATACATTTGTAATTAAATCGTAAAAAATAAAGTCGTTATTTAACGTACGTAATCAATCATCGAGGTTTAATGATGTGTTTTATAAATGACATTGTACAATTTCATTTATAAAACACAACATAATAATATAATGTAAGTATTTATATTATAATTATATTAGTAACTTTATAAATTGTATTATAAGTAATTATAGGTTTTGGAAACAGAGTTTATGATCTCTTGGAGGGCGAGTCCGACTAGAACTTGTCTGGATTTTCTTGACAATTGACTATACCAACGACGCTAGTAGTATAATCTAGTACTGGCCGTCTACCGTGTACGATTTTTAGATCTGTTTTAATGGAATACATTAAAAATAATATTTATTGTTCTTTTGAAGTTTTATTAATCTAAGAGTGCTAATGGTTTCAAAGTTCCACTTCATAACTAGTACTGTAGGCAGGTATCTCTAATAGTATTACTGTACTCTGTGGGTAGGTACTTCTTACCTAGTCAAGCAAGATAGTGTCATGTGGTAGTATGTGTAACTATTATAGTACCTACTTCATTAATTTACCTAAGGACTTATGATCAGAATACTGATCTAAGGACTTATGATCAGTAGCGTTAAATGGCTAGAGTACTCGTAAATTAATGTTAAATAATTGTTATTTTATGTTTATTTTCTAACATATTACAGTTTCAAACAACACTGTAAAAGCTTTATAGGAAAAAATAAATTTATTGTCATATTATTATACTAATTGTAATAGGTCAGTCCGTTTAATAATAAATAAAGGCACAATTGTAATAAAATAAATCATTTTGTATTTCTTGTCAAACTGCTACATATAGTTACTAAAAATAATCAGGCGCTTTGGGTTGAGTCACGTTTATTTTGGATTATTATTATCTAATCTAAACAAAGATAAAATATTTGTCTATAGGTATGTTCTCAAAATAAAAAGCCGTTTAAATTGTAAGGATAATTTGTGTAATTACCTAATGATTACTAAACTTTGCACGCAAGGTCAAAAACATCAGTTCTCATTGATAAACGTGCTGTATAGCACGTGTACATTCTATTTGTATTTAGTTATTTCGGTTTTAAGATTATAATATGAGGCATAAAACGTTGAGTGAGTGCTTTAGTTTATGTGCTACCAAATCACAATATTTTCTACGGTAAGTAAATTAAGATTGTACCTATGCCAGTTGAGCTATTTGTAAGGAATCTCTATATTTGTATGTTGCTAAGCTAAACAAAATCAGTGTACGTATTTTGATAGCGAATAAAATAAATGTCTTGGGTTGCCGCCCATCTCCTTCCTAACCAATTTTGTAAAACGCTCTTTCGTTTACATTTGTTTTTAATTACTCCATATGAGTATAAAAGTATTTAATTTAATACTTATGAGTAATCACAAAATAAATGATGAAATATTATTTACCAATTTCTACACGATCATGAGTAAAGCGCTGGACAGGTAGCGGAAGAGGCTGATCATCCGCTCCAGATGCATGTGTGATGTTGAACACGATCCTCAGACATGAAGGACCGACTCGAGAGCGATAATGCTGTTGTTGTATTGGATCATCGAGTATATGTGCTCAATGACTTGGCCTGAATACAATAGGATAAAGAATATATAATTTAAAGATTAACGTATTTAAAAAAATCGTTTTCTATAACAACTCAAACATAATGATATTGCTAATTTTAGGTACATTATAGTAAATGCATAGTATCTAAGGGTTATTTAACACATAATTTATACGGCCGCCTAATCCAAACCTAGGCAGAGCCTTTAATATGGTAACCGGACTGCTAAGAAACATTTTTTTTTTAAAACACATATTGTGGATAAATTACACCCAGACATAGAACAGATGATTGTGTTCAGACCCAGACGCAATTATTTGTTTTGGGTGGGTGTCGAATCTGTGATCTCAGACTTAGCAGTCAGTATCACTAATCATTAACAACAGGTCAGTCAAACTTAACAAAACAATTAAATGTTTATTGCCTGTATTTGTATTTTTTTTTCAGAAATGGTGCGTGTAAATATTCGACGTCTCTACAAGATGCCAAACCTTATAAATCAATTCCAGGGTTATCGTCTTTGCCCTATCTTGGACCATTTCACCATTTCTTGCCAGTCGTAGGTATGTAGAAATAACATACTAACAATATATTTACACAAGTAACTACTAAACATTAACTCGTGAATTGTTAGTACCATAACTGCCTTCTAATGCCTATTAGAAAAAGGAATTTCCGGTTCCCTCTATCTGACAGAATCTTGATGACGAAGTTTATGTGGCACAACTAGTGATGTGCCGCATATCCGTATCCGTATCCGTATCCGCGGATATCCAAGGGAGAAGAGAGTTCCGTAACCGTATCCGTGACTTTTTTGGCGGATCTTTCAATATATAGATGAAATTCTATATAGGTGATTTTGTTTTCACTGTAAAACTCTTAGGTATGTGTTTGTAACACTATAAACAGCAACTTTTTTTCTGGCCAACGTCTAAATGAAAAAAATTGGTCCTCCATTCAAATGACCAATCAAATGTTGTTAGTTTGTATGGAGAAACAATTTTTTCTTTCGTTTTCGGTGTTAGTCCAGAAGAAAAGTTGTTGTTTATAATGTTACTAATATGCAGTTCAGAGGTTTTCAGTAAATTTAAAATAACCCTGAATAATGGTTATTAGGTAGCTATGAAAAACTATTGAATTCTGTTCAGGTTACTTTTTATTTCTTAAAACAAATATTTGGCACCTTTGTATTGCAATCATTTATCATACTACACTAAATCAACTAGGCAGGTCGTAGGTACTGAAAGAGCTATCTTTATAATGAGATCAATCAAACATCTTTGTATTAGCTTATTAAAATAATGAAATATTTCAATATCAACGGTAAAGCGTCAAGTGGCGACAACTATCAAGGTCACGGGCTCCGATTGAGTAAGAAACTTAAGATCCGTATCCGTATCCGCGGATCTTGACACCAAATATCCGTATTCGGATATACTTTGTTAACGATCCGGCACATCACTAGGCACAACGCTCAGGGCACAGTCTTCTTTAAACGAATATTTTTAAGGAATAAAAAATATTTTATATAATTTTTGGATAGCCAAATGTATATTTTTATTTTATATTATTAGGAAAACAAACAGATACAAATCAAACTAATTATTCATTAATACAAATTAAAATAAATATACAGGTAAACTATGTAAACTCAATCCAAACAGTTTCCACATATAAATTTACAATAGCGCTAAAAACATTTTAAAATTAAAAACTAAAATTTACAAATGCACAGTAGGTGGTGGTACACCTATTGGTGTAACATATAAACATCTACGTATAATTTTCGGCAAACAACTTGAACATAGGGAGACGTAGTGGGGCAAAATTTGGGCATTTACGAGTATGTACGCAACAAAATAGTACCTAAATATATTCATTAATGTAATTGTATATATTTTCTCTCTCTTTTTTTTGTATGTATTGTATTTCTTTGACTGCGTAAAAAACATAGGCATTTAATTACTTTATTAAATCTCCTTAAAAAATATTAGATATTAAATAAAGTAAAAATAAACATTTGTTATTAAAAATGTCGATAAACTATTTTTTAGGCTGCTGTAAAGGAGAAAATCGCCTTTGGATTGATACGAGTAAATACACTTTCTTGATCTTAGAATTTACTCTTGAGGTAAACAAGATATTCCTTCGATTAACTTCAAACAAACAATAGCTTCAGAGAAAAAAGGGCTGTGGATAGAAGTTTTTAGCTTTATTAATAATTTGACTAACAGTACTGATAGATGTTTTTGTCGCCACCGCAGTCTGTTTCACAGTTTCAACATAATTCTTGCCGTCTTTTTTGAAAAAACAATACACATCGTATACCATTTTCCTGGCTTGTCTTTTCAAAACTACGTTAATTTGTCGTGACAAAAAAAAAAAAAAAATAAAAAAAAAAAAAAAAAATACTGTATAAATTTTATGAACAACAAATTTTAATACAAATCTAAATTCAACAATAATTACAACGGAATCAATGCAATCGAGTGTACTCGAGCGAGGGTCGACTAATCTACCAATGGCACGATCGAAACGACGCGACGCACGGTTCCCGACGTCGCGCCCGCACCGCCAAAACAAAGCGACCTAAAATACGTTTCTGCGCATGCAAGGACATTGATTAAGATATTTGTCGGTAACTATAAAGAAAAAAACGTATGTCTGAATTTACAATGGCATACTTTTAATATCAAAGATTTTTTTTGGCAAGGTTAAAATTTTATAAATCGCATAATTTCATGAGGGTTTGCACACGAAAGAAAAAGGTTAGAACTAGGAAGTGGCCTGCTGGTGACGATTTTGAGGAATTCGTCGTCCGAATAGATACAGGCCTGAAGCGTTAACAAAAAAATGAAACAGAACATAGATTCTTTTTCCTGTGGACAGAAAGTTGAATTGGTATTATTCTGCTAGTCTTATTAATCCTTTACTACGAGAATACCTTTTATGACATTTGTGTTATCCAGAGTAGATCGGAACCGAAGTTTGAACGAATCTTTATTACGACCTTCTGATCCCCTCTATTGTTAGTGGGTTTACTACTTGATGAATAACGGTTCTGACTTGAATTTTCTGCGATATGATGGTTCTACTTTTTAAGTTAAGAAGGATATGAAATTTATGCATCAATAATATTCTGATTTACAAAATTATGAGTTTTGAATGTATGTTAAATGAGTGTATGCTAAACGACGTTCTGCGAAATTAAGTATATGCTATCCGCTGTTATGCAAAATAATATTATGGTATAAAAAGTTTTGCTATAAAGGGTATTTTCTAGTTAGAAATGTTCTAAGCTGAAAGAGGAGAATCAAATTCTGTCAAATCAATGATTAAGTTTGTTCATAGTAACATAGATCAGTAAATTCTTATTATTATTATTTCATTTATTTCTCTCATAAGTACAGTAGGTTACAGATCATCGAATTATATGTATAAAAAATTATTAATATAAAGTTCCTTAGTAAGAGTTGGAGTCTATACTACGCTCATACATTACACATAAAAGAATCATCTTGTATCTTCATTTTCAGGGCAGTTTGGACCTAATGTAAATTTCTCTGAGATGGTAGGAGCTCTACACAAAAAGCATGGTCCCGTGGTAAAAATGAACGGTCTATTTGCAAGAGCTAACATGGTGATACTGTTTGAGCCTGACGACATAGATCAGGTACTTAAGATAATGTAAATTTCTCTGAGATGGTAGGAGCTCTACACAAAAAGCATGGTCCCGTGGTAAAAATGAACGGTCTATTTGCAAGAGCTAACATGGTAATACTGTTTGAGCCTGACGACATAGATCAGGTACTTAAGATAATGTAAATTTCTCTGAGATGGTAGGAGCTCTACACAAAAAGCATGGTCCCGTGGTAAAAATGAACGGTCTATTTGCAAGAGCTAACATGGTGATACTGTTTGAGCCTGACGACATAGATCAGGTACTTAAGATAATTGAGGAAATTCGGGAGCAAATGACTACGTTAATACACGCTGTGGATGTATTCATGTCACAGAGTGCCAGTGCCATGAGGAAACTTGCAAGATTTGATCACCATCTAATACAGCAGCGACTAGAACTTACTACAAAAATAAGTGTTTAACTTAGTCGAAAAGATCAACGACATGCTACGAGTGTGCAAGTTGTGCAACTCACGCTACTAATAGAATTTTCAAAGATTTTTTTTAACGGGTCTAGATTTTTTTTATCTTTGTAACTTGATTCTTCTGATAAGTATTTACCGTCATATTATTTTAATCAAAACACTATTTTTCTCCAGATAAAGATACGTGGCTAAAAGACAATTGCGTGTCATTTTTATCTTTCAACAAAAATGTCTGTGCGTCAATTGAATTAAAATACGATAGCTACTTCAAAATCTCAACAACATAAATTATAGGTTTACAGGTCCCTGGAGGCGAATCCTTTACGGCCCGGCTTTGACACTATGGTGTATTTTAGAGAAGTTTTAAAGAAGGATACATTTGATGGGGTCTATGGGTTAACTACTGCGTAAGTAAAAATCTCTTTAGGAAGAATAAGAATAAAACACTATCCACTTCCAGAATTCATCAATAGATTACCGTTATTAAGCCCAATTCGTTCGACACTTTGTAGGTAATCAAGAAGGGTTTTTTAGTTGACACTGAAGATTTCCATTGTCGACTTGTGTTTCTATCAGATCACCTCCAAGATGCCACGTATAAAGTTTTATTTTGATGCGATAATAAGAAAATTAGTTCCAAGATTTGTTTATGTTAATTATTTACAAAGTTATGTTAAAGTGGAGTATAATGTACCTAGTCTTTAATTATTTACGGCATCAATATATCAAAACCTATTAAGCCGTTAGTTGTTTTGAGTATAAAGAATCCCGTTTAAGTAAATAGGAGTGTTCACAGAGAACTCTATAATTCACATTACTCTTGTATTCAAATCTAAATTTACTTTTTGATAGACAAGGACCCAAATGGCGTGATTTTCGTACTAAGGTCAACCCAGCGTTATTGAAGCTCAAACTAGTCAGAGTGTACACGTCAGCACTTGAAGAAATAGCTCAAGACTTTGTGGAGAGGTAGGTATTTGATTCACTCCTTATTACTGGTAAAAGAAAAAAAACTTCGTTAAGGGGCTGATTTCATGTTCCCTAAAATACAAAATATTCCACAATGTTATAGAAGTTTCCAGAAAGGTATCGAGTCAGCTGACTTGATGGGAAAGATTACGAGTCTTTTGTAAGTTTCTCTAAAGTCTGACTGACTCAACTTTTTGTGCCTGCTCGTAGTAGGCGCATATATAGCCCTCAAAAACGTTGTGACCGAAAAAGGTAACCGAAAATTGGCGAAGTGCGAGTAGGAGTGTGAATTCGCTCATGATCGATATAGCGGATTCTAACAAAGGAAATATTTACCAAATAGGGAGCAAACACTGGTAAAATAATAAGTAAAATGTTAGTTTGTTCGCTCACAAAAAATACTGTAAATGTGTGTTTTTTTTGCACATTACATTTAGACTTTAACCTACTTAAATAAATTATCGTTTCTTTATTTTTATTGTTTTAGGCCTAGAACCGGTTCGTTGCAACGCTGTACGTAATTTCGATATCTCGGTTTATATCTTTGTGTATATTAAGGAGAGTATATTATATTATATTATTAGAGATGTATATTATTTCCCGTGCCTTTGATGCACGCAACCTAGATTACCCCTTTGCGGTTGCTAGGCTGACTGGAAGCGTTTCTAGTATTTTAAAAAAAATCGTGCCAATGACGTCCAAGTCTATTAGAGTTGTCTGCATGCCTATCGTGCCTAGAAAACGTTGGATCAGGGCTTGACTATAAGGAGGTTGTGATCTGAAACGGATACATTTTAGTTTTGCCATACAAGTAAAGAAATGCGAAGACCAGTACAAGTACAAGAAAAACAATTTGTATTGCGAAGAAAATTGTTTGTATTGCGAATTAAGTAACGTGCGGATTTAAAAATTGTGTACAAATCGATTTATTAATGTATCACCTGCTCGTAACAGTATTCCGAAACCTAATTATTTACGAGAATTTTTGTTATAATAGAAATATATTTTAAAAACCTTTTTAGGTATGTTTATTTTTTGTTTATTAATTTTTGAAGGTTAAAGCGGATAAAAGAGGATAAAACATATATGACAAACAAATTCGATTATGAACTGACTAAATGGTCTTTAGAATCCGTGGCGCTCGTGGGATTGGGGGCTCGGTTAGGATGCCTCACGGACGAATTGACCCCTGAGCACCCAGCAAGTAAGCTGATGAAATGTGCCAAAGATATGATGCTTTTGTCCTTTAAGCTAGAGTTTTTTCCAAACCCTTGGAAGTATTTTGCAACGCCAACTTTCAAGAAACTTATGAATACTCTAGATACACAATGGAAGTAAGTGTCTAACAAGTTTAGTCAATAAATATTATACTTATCAGTAGAAGCTTGTACCTTTAGTACAAATAATACTTACTGACACTGTAAATAAAAACCGTAGATATTGCTGTGACTTTTGAATAACTCTAGTTGCTAATATTACCTGAAAACCTATTTAAATTCTTTGGAAATGTAATCATAATATAAAGGCGATAACTTTTAGTAAATGTAAAACTTTATGTAATTTTTTTAGCGTAAGTACATTGTATATAGAGATGGCTAGAAAGCGAATAGCAGAGAGAGGCCACGATGTTCCAGAAGAAGATAAAAGCATAATTGAGAAACTGCTGGCTATAGATGAGAGGGTTGCTATAATGATGGCTAATGAAATGTTGTTAGCTGGAATAGACACGGTGAGTGTAATTTGTAAGGTCTGTATATTATTTTTCTTTTCATATCTGTATTTTGATAAGTTTTTTCTCTTGGTCTAAACGACTTAATCACGTCGCCATTAGCATAGGAAATATAAATATTTCCTTTTTAGTCTCGACACTATCTTTTTTTAAACTTACAAAAATTAGATACTTGAATTACGGTTTAGAAGATACTTTTTCGTTTGAAAATGTTTTCATTTTCTACTTTGTGGTTCGATTTACTCAAGATTTATCTTTTAAATCTCTTTAAATTTCTTAGGAGATGCATATTAGATGCAAATCGCAAGTTTAATCAATCGCACTCCCGGGCGGATTTTATATGTGCATGTCAATAAAAAATATTATTATTAATATATTTAATAACATATTTTGTAGGTGGCTTTTACTGTAACCAGCCTACTTTATCATTTGGCAATTAATCCAGAGAAACAAGAAAAGTTGCGGCAAGAAATCCGATCTGACGATCTTCACAAACGTTACTTGAGAGCTTGCCTGAAGGAAACTCAAAGAATTTGGCACGTTATTCCATCCAATTTGAGAAGAAGTGACAGAGATCATGTCGTTCGCGGCTATCATATTCCACCAGGGGTAAGGCAGAATAACTATGCAATTAGCTTTGTCCTAACCATTTTTACTATTTAAGCTATCACATCATTTCGTTTTGTAAGTGAAGGTACTCGATATGATTTATTCACATCGCTATATTTCTATTTTTTTTTTCTAAAACTTGTTTTTATAAAGTTTATTGTTTGTGTACTTTCATTTTTAAATTTTTTATTTGCTCTTTAACTACTTTCTCATTAAATAGAACTTATTTCATTATTCAGGTTGATGTCATAGCACCGAATGAATATTTATCAAACCTTGAAAAGTATTATCCGCGACCCAAAGAGTTCATACCCGAGAGATGGTTGGCAGATAAAACAGATCCGTTGTACTACGGGAACGCACACCCTATGGTCACATTACCGTTTGGCTTTGGTATCCGGAGTTGTATCGGCAGAAGGATTGCTGAACTGGAGATTGAGATACTAATGAAGAAGTTGATCGATGAGTTCAAAGTCACATGGGAAGGGCCACCGATCAAGCTTGTAAATAAGCTCATGAACTCTTTTGAAAAGCCATACAACTTTAGATTTGAAACTGCTAAATAGTTAGGAGTTTTTGACATATGATTTTAAAATTGCATTTTTATAAAAGCACTAGCTGACTCTGATAATAAATATAAAAAAAATATCAAGTAATTTAATGATTCTTTATCGGCCATGTATTTTGGTGCATGGGTTGTTCATTGCAGTTCATCATCATACCAACCGATATATATATAGCGAGCAATTTCATCGTTGGTATTGGAGGTTTGGATGCCAAAAACCGCCATATCGCTGCCTTTCGTGACATAATAATATTTGCAGATGAATTTTATGAACTTTACTGAATTGCAATACTCAACGTTACAATGTTCTCTAAGCAAACAGCCCCTTATCTTTAAGTCTGTTCTTACGACTTCCTATTTCCTGGTAATAAGCAGTGTAATGTTCTTTTATTGGAAACCAAAACCAAACACTGTAAAATGTATGTCATGTTGAGATCAAAACTATGATATTGATACTCACCATTCAATGAATTTTTCATTCTGATATTAAAATAATATCCATCTTCTCCTTGCCAAAACATCAACGGGTATTGCAACGTGTCATATGAACGATGTGTTTCAGATATTTGTTGCAGTTGCCCAGTATCGCGACGTGTAAGCACAATATCGTGTGTTTCCAATTTTTCACCAACAATCAGGATCAACTTCATCTATTGTTGGAGCGTTAAATGTGCGTTCGTGTGTGTTCCAGATGGTCGATTATCCGCTCTAATCACAAAAAAAAAAACATAGATGTTATATTATTGATTTTCACATCTTTTCGACCGCGTTAATGCTAATTCAAGAATGGCATAATCCGTGGCTATTTTATTCTCCAGATTAATGTAACGTGTTCTCAGTACGTAAGGAATTACTTATCTATTTTTTAAATTGTAAAATACAGGTTATTAGACCAAATTTGAATAATTAACTAAATGTAGGAGAGCAAATCAGTAGAACCAGTTGACAGTGGGTATTTTTACTTCTTGACTGAAAGTTACTCATGCGTATCTAAGAAGCTAGAAATTAAATGACTGTCAAGTTACTACACTGTCAAGAAAGTACCGGGAAAAGATCAATAATACACAAAATGTTTGTTATTCATCCAAGTTTATTTTATCACCTTCAAATTATGCTCCTTGAGAAACGATACACTTACGCCAACGAATAATCCAATCATCAAAACCTTTTTTAAACGCTGTTTCCGTTATCGAGTTCATTTCTCGCCGCGAATTCTCCTTTATATCTTCTACCGATTGAAAACGGGTGCCACGACGCGGTAATTTGAGTTTAGGAAAAAGAAAGAAGTCGGCTGGAGCCATATCTGGTGAATATGGTGGTTGCTCGATGGTATTTGTTGAGTGTTTGGTCAAAAATTCGTTCACGATGATGGCCTTGTGCGAAGGCGCATTATCGTGGTGCAAAATCCAAGAATTTTCTTTCCACAATTCTGACCTTTTTCGTCGAATTTGCTCTCTTAAATGCCGCATAAGGCTCAAATAATATTCTTTATTTAGCGTTTGACCTTCCGGCAAGAATTTCGAGTGCACAACACCGCGATAGTCAAAGAAAACAGTGGTGACTTTGACTTTTGATCGATTTGGCGTGGTTTTTTCGGTTTCGGTTCAGTTGGAAGGCGCCACTCCGAAGCTTGTTGACTAGTTGGCATGTCAAACTCGTAAACCCATGTCTCGTCACCAGTAACAATGCGTTTTATGAATGTTGGGTCGGAATTTACTCTTTCTAGCATGTCCTCAGCGACTCTCATCCGATAGTGTTTTTGGTGAAAATTCAGGTCATTTGGGATTAGCCGAGCGGTATCATGTCATGTCATATTCAAATGATTAGTTAAAATGGTACAGATCGACTCGTGAGATACAGAAAGTTCGATTAAATTAAATATATTTATAGTAATAACTATTGATGAGTAAAATTTTATTGTCATATCGTAACTCCGAAACCTCAATAGTAATTTTAGATGTGCCAAGAAAATATTAAAAATATATAAATTATCCGTAGTTTAACGTATGTAAATAAAATGTTTAGATCAATAGGAAAAGAAAGATTGTGCTTTTTAAATTTTGTATTTAACAAATTCATGATAAATATTTATAATTTAAAATATTTTCTGTATGTGTACATATAAAATATTATACGTAAGTATTTTAATTGCGTACCTGTGTGGTGACGGATTAAGAATACGGACTGTCATCATCTCTATTCATCCCGAGGATAGGATATGTAAGAGCCGACCAAGAGAGCAAACAATACAGAATAACAGCACTGCAAGGAGAAGGAAAAGTTGACACAAACCCTATACTAGACCGCCCTTACCGCCTGGCAGGTTTCGGAGAGTAAACCTTTCTTGTAAATAGGTACCTATGACGTGCGCTTTTTTCCAAAGAGAGGGAAACATACAAGTCCTAAGTGAATGTTGGAACAGTAGAGCAATAGGGTTCGATAAACTCTCAGCGCACGTTGACCAAAATACAGGAGGAATCCCGTCGCAACCAGCACCCTTATTTCGATCCAAACGTGAGAGGTGTTTAAATACCGTCTACCTTAGACACAGTTACGAGTATGTTGGAAATAGTGAGGCAGGCCTGGTAATTGAACAGTGGAGAATGAATGCCAGATTGCGACTAGGACCGACCTCTAGTAAAGACGATGTCAAAAAAGGTATTGAAAGCGGTGCATATTGCCTGACCGTCATTATATTTTGTATTTCCCAAAGTGAAATGACGCGGTTATCCTTATGGCTTATGCAGAACCAGCTTTTTTGACTTGACGTAACTGCAAAAGTATTAAGGTGCTTTCCTTATGTTGTGTTCAGCATTGCGTGTGAAGTTGTCAAAACACTGAACCTGTACTCGATGTTGCCTATCCCTCAGAAGCTTAAATTCATCAAAGTCGCTAAGATTTTTAAACAATTTCCATTTTTTATGGAACTTATCTTTTTCGCGAATGATTTTTATTTAAGAATGACTATACCATATGGGATAGGAATTATTTCCCTGACTGATAAAGGGTACAAATAGAGTAATACAATTTTTTAATTTTTCCTAAAATAAATCAACTACGTCGTCAACACAATCAGTTCCAGACAACAATTGGCCCCAATTAACATTACTCAAATATTTATTGAGATCTTCATAATTACATTTGCGGAAGTTAAATCTACATATTTTATTCGGGATAAAAGAGCTAATTTACAAGTCTACAATGCCGATAGAAAGAGGTGGGTGAAATCTATCAATTTTAGTTAAACCACTAGTCACAGAAACGTTTAAAGGTAAGTTTGAAAAACAAAGATCTAAAGTGTTGTCACAGTTATTAAGTGTATAGTTATATTGAACCAACCCTAATATGCTTAAATCTTCCTCAAATGCACAAGCTCTGTCCTGTAACAGGCTGCTACCCAAATGTGTGAGGGACCACCCATCCCTTTTTTTTTTTTTTTTTTTTAACGTGTGGAAATCCCCTCGGACCGTCACCCCTCCGGGGTTTGCGGCGGGGTGGTGTGTCGGACTCGGACCGAATAAAACCACACGGTGTGCCACTCTGCGCCTGTAACAGGAGGGATCCGGGAACAGCTGTTGTTAAGACATCCGGACCCCTCCTAGCGCCAGCCCGCTCCTGGTGCGGGCTCCGTCTCAATGTTGATGTTCCTCTCTTTAGGCGACGTCCGGCACACTTGGACGCCGCCCCCTCGCGGCTGGCCAAACTAATGCGGGTGGAGGGGAAACCCACCCCGTCCATCCGCGGCCACACTCAGGGCGGCATGAGGCTGTGATAGGCGGGCCTCCGCCGCCCGGTTCGCCGGCGGCGGATCGGGTCCGAGTGGAGGTCGTCCTCCCGGGCCCTCTCCGCCGCCTCCTTCCGCGAGATTACTACCTCGCAGAAGGTTGCGAGCGCGGTAAAACAACTGTCGCTACCGGCCATGGAGCGTACTACGGCCGGTAGCGAGAGATCCACTCCGATGACTGCAGTGAGGGCCCGGCGCTGCGCCGCCCATGCGGGGCAGACCGCCAGCGTGTGCTGGGCCGAGTCCTCACTGCAGTCGCAGTGGTGGCAGGCGGGACTCAGTTCCCTCCTAGCGACCGAGTGCAGGTACTTTCCGAAGCAACCGTGCCCGGAAAGCACCTGCGTCAGCCGGAAGGAAAGGGTCCCGTGCTGCCGCCCTGCCCACTCGGCGATGACCGGCTGGAGAGCCTCCACGGCGGCGAAGCCAGCGCGTGGAGTCTCCAGCCGGAACGACCAACGAGCCATCGTGGCTCGGCGAGCGGCTTCGCGCCACTCGCGCACATCCTCGGGCGGAGGGCGAAATCCGCTCTCCGCCCGGGAGTCAGCCACTCGCCGATAAACTTCGGCGAGCACTTCCGCCTCCAAATCCCACGGGGGAGTTCCGGCCAACGCGCATGCCACCTCCGTCGAAACGGTGCGGTAACCGCGTATGGCTCTGACCGCCATTACCCTCTGAGGGCGCCAGAGGCGTACCCTATTCTGCCAAGCTAGCGTCGAACACCTCCCCGAGGCGGTCTGCCATGTGGTTGAGGGCCAGGGCCAGCACTCGGGCCGGTACCCCGTCTGGCCCAGGGGCGGTGTTCTTGGAACGAATCCGTAGAACAGCCGCCCCTACCTCCGAATCCCGGACGGGCGGAACATTATCCTCCCCGTGCTCCCCGTCGTCTCCGGCCAGGGAGGCCATCGACGGGGGAGTGTGTTCCGCTCGTTGTGGGAAAAGGCCCTCAACCACTTCTCGAAGGAAGCTGGGCTGGAGAGTCTCCGTAAGGGGGGGGCCCGACGCGCGGAGCTTTTGTCGCACCGCGCGGTAAGGGCGACCCCAGGGGTCACGATTAAGACCCTCCAGCATCTCCTGTCTCTTTTCTTCTTTGGCGCGGCTAATGGCCAGCTTCAGAGTTTTCCGCGCCCGTCGGTACTCCTCATGAAGCCGGTCCTCCTCATCGTCTCCACGGTGACGCCGCCGACTGCGCGTGTAGGACCTCCGGGCACGTGTACAGG